GCTCTTTATGGCAGAAGCACCATGACTTTCCCATTGCTCTGATGTCATTGTATCTGCTCATTATTTTTCCCTGTGTGCACATTATAGTGGAGGGAAGACAATAAACGTTGTTCCTGTGTGGAGCAGAGCAATGATGAGCGGCACTGGGAGGTGGAATGGAAGGGAGGAGGCTTGGAACAGAAGAAGTGTCTCTACAGAGCATTTAGGAACAAAACAAAGTGATTTTCTGTGAAAGGTAAAGCCAAAAAACTCTGCGGGGTGATTTGCTGCTTTGGTCACGTCTCCGTTTTTCACTTCACAGCAGTAACAACAAATAGAAAATCTGTTCCCAAATTCTCTTTCCTCCCCCCAGTATTTCTCCCACTTGCTGCTGTCTGTGTATTTCCGGTTTTTACCTGGTCCTGCATAACACAGTAATATGTTAAATCTTCATCGCTCGCCCCCTACACTGACCTGTCTGTAACAACTGGGGGAGAGCAGATTTATTCACATTGATGGAATCTCTCTCGGAGTGACATTTCGTTTACTAACGCACTGTGGGGGGAATTGATGAAACCTGGAGCAGACAGAATCTGCAGTTGCCCATGGCAACCAATCAGCTTTCCTCCTCTCTTCACTTTGTTCAGTTAATATCACGTACCTGAGGCTGAGACTGGAAGATGGGGAGGCGCCTCTTGCGGTTCGCGTCCTGCGACCCCTGGAGTTTGGAACAGAAGGGCGCAGGGCAACGAGGAGCACGAGTGCCGAAGACTGGAAACGAACACTGCGTGGGAGCAGCTGAGAAGAGAGGTCAGGAAAGCCAAGGTCAAATCCGGTCGGGCAGGCAAGGTACAAAATCGTAAGGCAATCTCAATGTCCAGGAAACAGGCCGGGGTCAAGGGCTGGCAGCAAGCAAGAGAGTAGTCCAGGGCAATCCGAGTCAGAGGCAGGCTTTAAACAATACAGGAACACAGGAGACAACACATCAAGCTGACAAGACCATCAGACATGAAAGAGAGGCTGACTCCTCCTTAAATAGTCCCAGGAACCTGACAGCTACCTCACTTCCTGTGTGGTTTCCCGCACATTTTGCCGCCATTCCCGCGCATACGCCGTTTGCCGCGATTTCTCGCGCATGCGCAGTTTGCCGCGATTCATGCGGTTAACAACCGTGCCTTTACAGTTAAGCTTTAAAAATGAAAGAAGCTGATTTGTTGCCATAGGCAACTGCTTCAGATTCTGTCTGCTCCAGTTTTCATAAATGTTCCTCAATGGGTCATAAATAATGTTTTTTGTTTCTTTTTGAAATCTCGGTCTCACTTTTATTTAATCACCCGTTCATACATCTCAGGCTGCTGCTCTCTTATTGAGCTTCTTTGCAGTCACTTCCTGTCAGCGATGGCTGCATGGCATTTCTCAGTTGTTGTCACCATCAGGTTTCTAGATGATGACAACCGTGGACAATGCCTGTGTAATGTGTGCTATAATGGCCACTTGTAGTCTCTATGTGAAACCCATGTGGCAGGTTGACAACACATAAGCACATATCGTATATAGGGTTGTCACCATTTAACATGAAGTGCCTTGATGGTAGGATCACCAGGTATTATTTTTAATGAAAGCTGCAGATTTGTAATGATTGGAAGTGACTTGTGAAATGACAACACGGTAAGATATCAGATATGAGGTTTTAGCGATTGTCTCATAAATGTGAAGAGAATCGGCTGGTGGTAAAGGGTTAGAATGGAAATGTTACCAAGTGAATCCTTTTCATGAACTTGTCTCTTTATAAAACAGACCTCATAGTGCAGGGGGGTACTCCGGGCCTCCAGCTACAAATCCCATGAGGTCCAGAGGCAGAGATACACGATGGGATTTCTAGTTTCTCTACAGCTGGAGGCCCAGAGTTTGCCTACGCTCGCTATAGTGTGTATAGAAGAACAGACTTGTACATCCAAATTAAGTCAAAACTTTTATTAAACCAAAAATGTAAATTTCCAAAACTGAAACATGGTTGAAAGATGTACACATAGTAAAATATTGGCCTCCCTTTGTACAATGCAGTAGAAAATATTTGTTATACAGAAATATACACGCACGCCCTGGGGTCCCTGAGTTCCCATATGTAATGGCTGTTTGACCCGAGTTATCTCGAACTCTCCCAGTCCTATTGGGGCTTATTGGCCAAGCAAAAACATGAGCAGAAAACTGGAGTTGCAGCCCATGGCAACCAATCAGAATCATTTGTACTTTCAGGTTTTTATAAGATGAAAGCTGATTGGTTGCTTATGTCTACAACTCCAATGTTGAGTTCCTTTCCAGGAAGCTTATATAGAAGAGAGAGGAAGAATAATGCTTTGCTGGTCCCCAGACCGTCATAGGCAGAAAAGTACAACCCCCGCCGTCCCTTTCTATATTACAAGTACCAATCACCTATAGTGTGTTTGATGAGGTAGATATTCGCTCGGACTGATTTCCACATGTACACAGGAAGAGATCTGCATTCCTCTTGTATAGCTGTAAAAAAATAAGCCAAGGAAACTGGACTTGCTGTATTTTTCTGGTCACAGACATTGGTTTTGTATGTTTAGACACAACATAATTGTACAGTAATGGTTTTTATAACGCAGTGGTGTCATGAACAACGGGGCAGATCTATGAAAACTAAATCCAATGCAGAGCTGTCCCATATTTCACATAATACAATGGCCTGGTATCAGCTCCAGTTTGTTATAAAGCAATGCCATTCATGTTTTTGGTGTGACCAAACTAAAGTCTGCACTCTGTGCGGAATGGGTTTATCATTGCTGCGTACACAAATTAGGATCTATTCTGCGGGTCGGGCTGCATAGCAGTTACCTCCAGCAACTCTGGTGTCTGCAAGGTACTGCACTCTGCTTCGTGTTACCGATGTCCTGATTGTGAGTTGCCGTCACAGAGTAAAGACTTCAAGTGGCTGTCCAGTTAGTGGATTTAGAGATATGACCCAGTTAGGACTACCTGTGGACAGATTACACATCAGCCGTTGTCTTCTGCCCAGTGTCAGCCTATGACATGGAGTGATAGGACTGTGGACAAAGTGTGTCTAAGTAGGGGCATGAAGAGTCAAATGTAGGAGACGGACAGCCAACCCTTTTTATACAGAAAGAGATAAATAGCCGAAAGCAATGTTGGGACCAGCGGCTGCTCCAGGTATAAGAAAACCCTACCTGTAGACTTTTTCAGTGGACAGGACTTTGACAACGCAGATCCATTTACCAACATACAGCTCTCTGGCATTTTTGCCATAAAGGGGTTCATTTTGTACAAGTGTTTTGCTAGAGTTCTCCCTCCTTTTTTATTTTACCTGTGGTTTCATGGACTGGTCCATACTGGTCTTACAGTGCAGATGGTCAAGCATTGGTCCCATAAATCGGTACTTGTGTTCATATAATCGTGTCCTGTTTGGTCACTTTGTTCCTGAGGAGCTCTCAGCCAGTAATCCTGGAGGTCTGTTACATTGTCCCAGAGACTGACCCGGTAGTAGTTCTCATCTGACCCACCTTGATGTACTTTTTAATTAAGCGCACTGAACAAAAAACAACATAGAGTAGAATCCCCAGCACAAAACAAAGAAGCTGCAGCGTAGCGATAATTGCCCCTCAGTCCCAGCCCATGGAAGCTTGTTTCAGATAATGTCTTGTTCCTTTTTAGATGCATTTTCAAGAGTAGCTTAGTGCAAAGCCAGGTGTCACTGGATCCAGTCTGCGATGCAGCTTTACTTCTTGCAGATTTCCTCTAGTCTGGCAAACTTTGGGTCAAACTGGTTCAGGAAACTAAAGTCCATGGTGTCATCTGGGCAGTTGATGGATTCCATTGAGGCGATAAAATCAAGGTCCCCCTCATATGCATAGACCCGTGGCTTGTATGTGCCTTGCTCATCATCAGAAAGCCCGTGTAACCGCTAAAGGGTGCGGGAAGAAAAACATTAGGAAACAGTTATTGGAAACAGTTTTACAAAGTTCTGGGGAAAACGTATTGCTTCATTAACATGTGATTTACAGGAGCAGGGGGGGGGGGGCAAGGCAGTGCTACCTATTCACCTTCCTCCAGTCATTCCTTACTGTAAAACCTAAATAACATTTCTGAAGTCCAGAAGTTCTAACATGACAGAATGAGCAGAATCATGAGTTGTACCCAAGTTAGGCCCGGCTCCCCATGTGATGCAGCATCATAACTGTCAGGCTTGGTGTAGCAGTATGTGGTGACTGGATTGCATGGGGATTGCCCTTCTGCTGTTTAGAAAGATCATCACTATTGGGAATTGCAATTAGACACAACTGCGTTTTATTTTGACCCCAATCAACCTTAATCATGTGATCTCTGGCATTACATCTTGTGATTACGCCAAGCCTTACAGATTTTTACAGGACAAGACTCTTGAGTGTAGACGTCAGGCCTGAGATAATGGTGTAGATATGAGCTGTAGTATTCAATCCTTCGCTCATAGCGTACAATAGTAAACTGGGAGGTACCGGAGGACAAAGGCTGCATGTTGTAAAATAACAGCGGGGGGCCACTAACGGCATATCCAGGGCATGGCACATGACATATGTCCCCCCCCCCCCTTACAGCAGAGTCTGACATAAAGGGGAACTCTGGGTAATCTGATGTAAGGGGGGTATTCTGATGCCAGCGGGACTCTAGGGACTTTGATGCATTTTTGAGTTGATATTATGGTAAAGCTATCTACAATGTGGAGGGTCTGTTTTTGGAAAGGGGCGCGATGTCGGTGCTTGCCATAGGCGCTATTTTCTGTAGATAACACCTCTGGTAACCACATGCGTTGATAACATACATTGTGAATACATTTTGGGGGAAATTGTATTCATCTCTAGATGCCCCCAAGCAGACATTAGCAGAGAAAAAGCATGCATACGTGTGCTGTGTTGTGGTGTATTGGCCAGTACACTGTATGGTAAAATGCACAGGCATCGGTGTGCATGGGCCCCAGGTCAGACCAATGAAATTATTGGATGTAGAAAATACTCCTACTCACGGTTGGAGCATTTACTGTTTGAATATTGTTGAATTTAAGAATGATGAAAGGCAATTACAGATCAACACTGTAGTAGTGTTGAAAAGAGAAGATTTGTATGTCTTTGTGGAGAGGTTTCCTTCTTGTACCATATGGTCACCAGGAGATGAAGTGAGGGGAAATCTTAGCATCAGGGACAAAAGGAAGCACTGCAGGGCAACCCACTCTGTCCAAAAGAGAATGTCATGACTGGAGTTCCACTTTAATCTGTAAAAAATCCACATGCATGCTGTAAAGCAGACTCTTCTCCCTGAACATTGTGGAAGATGCATGTGTACATGTTGTGCATCAGTCTATGTACTGGATCCTCTGAAAGTTCCGATTGGTTCCAGATATCTGCATCTCAATGGGGTATGTATATACCCTATACGCCACTCTGAAATCCCAATGTTGGTTTGTATAGATACTGTAGCTTTAAAGATGTGGTAAGGGTTATAATTGGGATTCCAGACTTCCTCTCTGAAAGTATTAAAGTGTAATTCTACTTTGGCACTACTGACAGTCTGTCATGGACTCCTGGCAGCTCCATTTCAGACGCTGTAAGTGGGTGGGCTGTCTGCATGTCAATTCTGATATCAGCCAAGTTCTGAGTTTTCTGGTGCAGTGAGTTGGACGCCTTCCTGATGAGACTTTGCTGGAACAGATTGGGGATGTATGGCTGTCCTCCACAGCACCAATACATTATATATGTAATCACACTCTAGCTAAGCAAGGACTGATGACAACTCCTCAGCTGCTTATCATATATTAATAATATATATACACAGAGGTTTAGCATAGACTGTAAGGTTTTTACTGACTATGATGGGAAATGAAAATTCCCTGCGAGAAGTAAAATAGTTCTGACCTATAAAACTAGATTGTATTTCAATATTGTAATGCTGACTGCAGCGATCCTGATTGTGCACCTGGCGAATATCGCACAACAAAGAGATCTCTGAGAAGTGACAAGCTGTGACTGATCGCAGCACGCCCAGGCACGCGTCCGCGTCACTATGGAAAGCTTGTGTGTGTGTCCAGATATAATTACATGACATCGAATTTGAAAGGTTTATTGCAGTTATCATCTCTGCAAGGTGTGCATTCCATTCCAAGGGATTGGAAGCAGTCCAGCAACAATGACTGAGCTTTCTACCAATCGTAATGGACCTTGTATAACAAATGACAACACATGTAAATAGCAACGCAAAACAATATGAAATAAAACGACATCCTGACATTTTTTTTGCAATTTCCCTGCACATGTCTAAACCAGGGATATCCAAACTGCGGCCCTCCAGCTGTGGTGGAACTACGAATCCCATGAGGCTTTGCAAGATTCTCACAGCCACGACTCCCGGAGAGAGATGCTTCATGGGATATGTAGTTTCACCACAGCTGGAGGGCCGGAGTTTGGACATCCCTGGTCTAAACAGATACCATCTGTCTGCAGATACACAAGCAACAATATACACATAACCAGCAGCCAGGGTCTCATGAGCCAGATCCCTCCTCTGCTAGTGATCTCAGCACTAGAATGCTTTTCTTTTAACTAATATTCATTAAGAAGGTTGTTTCTAAAATGTTACTTAGCGACCTTAATTGTGCCCACAGGCCCTTAACACTCCACCTGTGGAAAGCTCCTCGAAATCTACCTCTCTCCTACAATCTCCTGCCACCTTTTCAAGCCCAATGATGAGCTGTGAATCTCTATATACTGTATGTAGCCAGGCACCCCGGGATATTACCATCTGATCTTTTGTAACAAAGGGAGAACACAAGTTTTCTTTTTTGGGGAAATGGGAGCAAGACTTATGACCTCAGTGAGTACCAAAGTTCAGGAAATCAAAATGATACAGAACACTGACCCAGAATCCACAAATTGTACCCACACATCCCACACCGCTGCTAGTGATGCAATTCAGCACAAGGCATAGTCTTCTTACATGTGTTCTGGTCATGTTCATAACTGAAACTTTTCCAGGGATTCACTGATTGTATTGTTCTCTCCTTCTTACATAATGCCTCTATACCTGCAAAGTTATATCCAAGATCTCTCCTATGGCACTTTCTCTATTCTACCACACCATGCACACCCCTGAAATGGAGAGAGTCGTCCCCCCCCCCCCCCCCCAATCCACATGTAGCATTAGACATATCGAAGAGTTGACCCTCACTTTGCAAAACAAATCGCCAAAGCCTTGCAATGCCCAACCCTGAATCCTGAAGAAGTTAGGGGCCAGAGTGTACTGGGCTGTCCTGAACAATAAAATGACTGCTAAATTCACTGACACCTTGGTCACATTTAAACCGGTATGGTCCTCATGGGTGGGAAATTTCCTTCCTTCAGAGTTTGATTCACATTTCCTTTTGCCTTTTAAAACCTGACTGATATAATTGAACACGCAATGTCACCCCTATCTACCCCCATGCCCCCAACCCTCTTTCCTTACTGGAATCTTTCTACCTCTCACTTTCCTCTGCTACCCATCTTTCTCTCCTTGAGCCAATATCACGTGTAGACACACAGCATGAGGTCTTCTGCTGCACACAAACCTACCTCTAGCACCAGCAATTGCAGACGACAAGATTGTCTTCACAGCCAGAATACTATTATCATCATCATGTCTTTCTGTTGTACTTTCTGTGTATTCAGATGCATGG